TTATTCGTGCTCTTACTCTTAGATTCACTTACACACGTACACACAAAAACACAACTCCACGCGGAGGTTGGCTCCAACCATCGGCTGCAAGGCCAAGCGAGACGCGCAGGCAACCGCAGGGCTTGAGTGGGCCCAGATCGCCCAGTTTCGCGCATCGCACCCCGCAATGCGCGACGCGCGCTCACCTTTGCGCCCTCGCGCCGCCGCCTAAGGCCCAGGCCGACACGCGCGATCACGGTCGAATATTTGATCAGAGAGGACACGCGGCGCGGGAAGCCACAAGACCCTCCCGAGGGCCACGAAGCACATGATACGAGGGCACCCAGCTGGCAGGGTCGACCTGGCTCAGCCAACTCGGCTGCACCTCCGCGCCCCTGGGGGCGACTCCGATGGGCCTGCGCCTCCCGTTCCCGCGCTGTCCTCGCCCCCCCGACGCTCGAGTCGTCCGCGGCTCGACACTGCGGGCGCAGTCTAAAATCTACCACCGCGACGCTGGAAGCCTCTGCGCCGGTGTGAGCGAGACGAGGATCGCGGTGGACGACTTCACGAAAACGAAGCCTCGAGTACGAGATCGACAGCAGAACTGATGTAGCCCCATATCGATTCTCTGCGTCGTAGAATCTACAGCACCTACGCAGCATGCTCGCTCACAGACGAGCATGCGAACGAACACGAACAAGTCTGGGGCGCATCCATTCTGCAATCGGCCTCCGACTCGAAAGCCGCGGCCCACTTACTCTCGAGCTCGATGCAGCAACCCCCTTGGCAACTCCGAGAACAGGTGTGGCTTGCACAAAAGGGTGTGGTCTGCAGCCGGCACCCTCTTGGGGGGGCACCCTGGGTGGTGGGGTCGGGCGGGGGCCTCGCTGTTCAGGGCCCTCCGCCGCACCCCCGAGAAGGCCCGACGGGGACGGCGTCGTGCCCCCCGTGAGCCCCAACGGCGCCGACCGCAAACCACACCCCGGCGTAACCACACCCTCTGTGGCCGCCGAACAGGGACAATGACGACGACGCCGCCGCCGACGACGACGACGACGACCGCGACGATCACGACGATGACGACCACGACGACGACGACGACCCTGGCGTAGCCATACCCTCTGTAGTCGCCGACCCCCCTCCGCGCAAGGGTCGGGCGGGTCTGCGCCAACCACCCCCGCCCGGGGGAAGCTCCGCAGGAGGCCCCCGCTCCCACCCGCACCGCCACTCCCGAGGGCCCGCGGGCGCGCTCGAGAGGCCCCAGAGGCCCCTGGGGGGAAGGGAGGAGGGGGGGGAAGGCGTTTGGCGGCGCGCGCAAGGGGGCAGGAGGGGGGAAGGTTCTCTCGAGGGAGGCTGCTGTTTAGAAGGCGCCGGCCTTACATCTAAGGACAGGGCCGGCTCCTTCCAAGAAGCAGCCTCTCAGAAAGCTTCCCCCCTCCCCCTACCCCCCTCTGCGCGCCGACGAGAACAGGAGATCGACTACAGATTGGATTTACCCCAGGATTGATTTTCCCGTCGAGTCGACGAAAAATACTTCGAATGCTCCGTACATCTACGGAAGCCACTCTACGTGTCTTCCGAAGATTCGACGGACGATTCAATTCTGGGGCACATCAACTCCGCGGTCGGTCCCCTGCTCGATCCTCCTAGGCGATCAGATGGTCTGTGCTGCCGCCTCGTGTTGCCACAGGGCCCCTCTCGGCTGGTGTGCAAATAGTACCAGCCTCGTGTTTCCCCTGCCCGCGGCGCGCTACCTGGCAAAGGCCTTGGTCGCACAAGCCCCAGGATAAAGCCCCTGCCGCAACTTGCGGGGAGGCAGGAGGGGGGCGCAGGAGCAGAACACAACCAGAAGTACAGTGGAGGCCAGTCCACAAGCAACCTTCCACGAGAAACCCAGCCCTGAGACCCCAGGACGTCCATGGACTCTTGGCGCGGGAGAACGTCACACTTTCCATAGCAAAACCATCGAAGGAGGAGGAGAAGGAGGAAAGGGAGGAGGAACAGGAGGGGGGAGAACCCAAAGAAACCCAGGGGCACCACCCTGGAGGCAAGCAGGGTGCCTCTTGGCAAGGCGCCCCCACTGCCGGTCGAGCGGCGCAGGCGACGACGCTCCCCCCGGCCTCGGCCGCCCGCGCGGGCGGAGCGGCACCCTCGGCGGGAAGGGCGAAACGCGGTGCACGAGCCCTAGCACTGTGGATGCCACGACAGTGGACACTCCAGCAGTCTGATCCTTGAGTGTAATCTGTGTTTAAAATGTCGGAAACATGTTCTAACACATGTATTAGACATGTGTTTTACAGGTTTAAGACATGCTTGAAACATTGTTTAGACATCTGGAAATTATTTCGCCGCATGCCTCCTCTCCATGAATCGACCTCCACAACGCTCGGCGGGAAGGGGGAGACGCGGTGCACGAGCCCGAGCCGAGCTCGACGAGCCTGGAGGAGCAGGCGGAGAGCGCGGGCAGAAGCAGAGGAAGAAGGAGCGCCATAAGCATAAGCTTTTGGCGCTCCGCGCGGATTCCCTCCAGGGATTCCCCAAACCCGAGCATCCTGAACGCAGCAGCTTCTTCTCCGGCTGTGGGAAGCGAAGAAACCCAGGATACCCTGACGAAAAGTAGCTGGTTTCTTGATGCGCACCCCCACTGTAAGCATTAAACTGTTGGCGCTCCGTGCGGATTCCCTGGATCTGCGCCGGAGGCGCCGCCAGGGGGATCCCAGCGCGGATCCAAGGCCTCCGCGCGGGGCGCCAAAAATTTATGTTTATGACGCCTTTGTATCTTCGAAGAATCAGAGGCGACGGTAGGGGCGAATAGCCCAGGGGAGAGCAATACATGTATTCAGGTGCGCCGATGATCTATGTCTTCGAAGAGGCTCCTGGGCGAATACGTGTAGTGCCCGCCCCTGGGCTATTCGCCCCTGTCGTCGCCGCCGAAAGGAAGGCAGCGAGGACCCTGAGGGGGCCCTGGCGCTCGCGACCTCGCCAGGGACCTCGCCCGCGCACCGCCGTCGAGGCTGCGTGCGCCACGCCACCTGGGGGGAGCTCCTGGCGGCAGCCCCTCCCCCCACGCGAAGGCCTGGCGAAGCCTCTGCCTGGACCTCCACCTCCTCCCGCTGCGGAAAAAAAAAAACACGGCGCGAAGTTTATGTTTTTGGCGCTTCTTCTTCGACGAGAGACAGCGAGGGCTCGCCATCGCTCGGACGTCCATTCCCTGTGTTTTGTTCGGTTTCGTGCGTGGCTTTTTCGCCAAACGATCAGGGATGCTCCTCGATGGCCCTCGCCAAAGGAAAAAGTGCACACGTCCGAGCGACGCCGAGAGGATGATGCCAGTCTGAGCGCTCCGAGGGGGGCCCTGCCGCTCGCGACCTCGCCAGGGCCGCACCGCCTGGGGGGGGGCTCCTGGCGGAAGCCCCTCCCCCTCCTCGAGGGCCTGGCGAAGCCTCTGCCCGCGAAGGAGCCCAAGGACACACAGAGAAATGCACACACGCACAAATCACTGGATTCCCCGCATATTCCCATATTTTCTAGGCTCTTGTCTCCCCCCCACTTCCCATATTTTCCTATATTTTCCTGGAAGTCGACGATTACTTGTGCCTGTGTGTTTTTCCCCTCCTGAGCCTGGACATCCACTTCCTCCCGCTGTGGAAAAAAAAACACGGCGAAGCTTTTGACCATTTTCGGCCTCCGGGTGCCCTCGTCGGTTGGAGGCCTCCTGGATGGGGTCGGCGCTCTCCTCCGACCCCGTCCACCGCGGGTTCGTGCCGTGCCGATCCTGGCTTTGGTTCCTGACACCGCGGGGATCGCTCAACCTTGCACGATCCGCCGTTTCCGAAACGTCAGATCGTCAACATCGACCGATTCTGGGTCGCCAGCGGCGTTCAGCATTGAACGCCGGCGGCGGGGTCGCCGCTGGTCGACACGACGCGACCGACCCCTTCTGGGAGACCCGGATCGGGCTCCAAGGCTGATGGGCCTGTTTTCCACCACCACCACCACCACCGTAAGTTGGAGGGGGAGGGGGTCCTCCTCCTCCTCCTCCTCCTCCTCCTCCTCCTCCTCCACCTCCTCTCCTCCTCCTCCTCCTCCTCCTCCTCCTCCTCCTTCGTCCTCCTCTTCCTCAGCCTCCTCCTCCTCCTCCTCCTTCCCCCCTCCGGTCCCCAGGGCACGGGTCGAGACCTCCGGTGGCCAGCGCTTCGATCAAAGAGACGAAGACGACGTCGGGGGCCCGGGCCCTCCGCTTCCCCCGCCCTTCCACTGCCCCCTCTCCTTGCGGATGGAGGCATCCTGCCAAGGCCACGCTGACGGCGATGTTTTTTGAGATGTCGGGGGTATGGTTTTTGCGACGCCGACCTCGCGCAGAACATAGTGTAGGAAAACGCGAACAAGCCTTTCCTACACTCGGGTAGTCCAAGAACCATCCCAACCTACAACAGTACCGAAGTCTACGTCGCCGTTGCCTACATCGCTGGCAGCGTGTCTACGGATCCTGGGGCACCCCAGAACTGCTCCGCACCGTCACAGCGGGACAGCGCTCGAGTAGGGGATCAACTACAAGCTGGTTTACCGCCAAAATCGTGTTCACCGAGTCAGCGGAACATGCGCAGAGTGCTCCGTAGATATACACGGAGCATTCTGTAGGTTTTTCGTGGATTCGACAGGAAAGCCAAAGTTGGGGTGCACGTCGGTCGGAAGAAGTAGGTAGAAACATGCAGCAGGAAGGCGGATCAAGGAGATTGGGTCTAGGCCCTCCCAGAGAATGACACAACACAGCAAAAGCATGTCGATTCTTGAAGTCGGAAGGCGATTGAAGCAGATTGGGATCTGGGAACCCAATGTCCAACGATACCCCTACCTTCAACGACCGACGTGTAAACTCTCAACGACCAACGTGCAAATCGATTTTTGCAGTCGAGCCCGCCCTCGAAAAACGCTGAGGAGCGGCAGAGGCCTCGCTGCCGAAGCAGCCGGCCGCGGGTGGCGCGCGGGCCGTCGGCCCCCGCGGACGGGGGGGGGCGGCAGTCCTTGCTGAGAGTGACGACCGTCTCCGACTTGTAGCCGATGCACAGCTGTGGGCACAAGTGCGCCTCCGCGGGGCAGGGGCGCGCGGGCGGGCCCGCGCCCCAACGCTCCTGCACTGGTCACCCGCCTGCCGGTGCTGCTCCCAGGGGGTAGGTCGTCGGAGATGGGCGGCCCCCCTCCGCGCACGGGCTTTTTACCCACGAGATTCCTTGGAAACGGGATTTCGCTTGGAGTTGTTGTTCATAATGCTGCTCGCTGAGGCGTTGGCTTCATTTTTCGGGCAACCGCTCGTTCCGAGTCGTGCTCCCGCTGCAACGCTGGCCTCGTTTCCGCGCTTCCGCTCGTTGCGAATCGTGCTCCCGCTGCAGCGCTGGCGTCATTGTTTCCAGCGTCATGCAACGGCATGGTTTTCGGTCCTTCCAAACCGGCTCCAAAATATAGAAATGGCCCCCCGAAAAAACCGTCGGCAGTGATTGCACATTCAGTGTCGATTCGTTGATTTGTGGGGTCGCAGAAGCCCCCCCCCAATTGGGGGCGTCGCCACGCCATGCTATGCCAGCTCCCAACAATGGCCTCTTTTCCGCGCTTCCGCTCGTTCCAAGTCATGCTCAGGTTGCAGCGCTGGTGTCATGATTTCCAGCGGCATGCCACGGCATGTTTTCGGTCCGTCCAAATAGGCCTTTTTACATACACACACACCACACACACACACACACTCACACACACACACACAAACACACACACACACACACACACACACACACACACACACACACACACACACACACACACACACACACACACACACACACACACACACACACACACACACACACACACACACACACACACACACACACACACACACACACACACACACACACACACACACACACACACACACACACATTCCCCTTTCTATATTTTTTACCATCCGGGGGGGTTGGACCGTGACCCCCCCCCCCGGAAAATCGGACCCCTGGGATCTGGCACTTTGGGGGCCTCCTGGACGCCTTGCAAGGGGTTCCCCGGGCCTTCCGGGCCTCCTGGACGCCCCTGCCGGGCCTTGCCAGCGGGCCCAAAGCGGTCAGGAGGGCGGCCAAATGGCCCCGCGAGAGCCCCACGCGGCCCCAGACAGCCCCAAGACGCCCGAAGACGACAAAAAGAGGACCCCCAAGAGGTCCTCCAAGTGCACAAAAAAACAACACTTTCCTTTCGTTTTTTAATTGAATTTTTAAACATTCGGTTCTTCGGTATTCCGTGCGTCCGAATCCGCCGAAGAGGCCCCCAAAATCCTCCCACAACGGTGTCAAAGGGCTTCCAGACAGTCCAAAAGAGCCCCAATATGGTCCAACAGGGCCGCAAGATGGCCCCAAGAGAGCCCCGCTGACAGCCCCAGATGGCCCCAAGACGCCTCCCGAAGCACTCCAAATCGTGACCCGGTCGTTCAGGGAGACCGTGGTTGGTAGCAAGGTGGCCGCAAGAAGCCCCCTGAGGCCCCCAAAAGGCGCCCAGGAGGCCCCCAGAGGTCCCCAAAAAGTTTTGAGAGGGGCCCAAGAACACCTCCAAAGAGGAGCCCCAGCAATAAAAACTGGGGATGAGGACAAGGAGTGGCTCGCAGACAAGGAAGATTACGAGTAAGAGGAGAGGAAGTATAAGGATAGTACATAACATTACTATAACGACGATGGCGCAAACGGCAACAATTAATCATCGCTATATATGGTTCTCCTGCATTAATAACCATGGTGCGTGGCGCGAAGCGCCAATGCAATCTTGTGTATATATACACACATATATATATATATATATATATATATATATGTATGCTCGCCGATGTACTTGACGGGCCAGATGGTTTTCTCGCCAGCAGGGTTCGATCTGTGTGCTGATCTCGCCAAGGGTCTCGACGCTCGAGTACACGCACACGCACCTTTATAATCAGGGCAGCCGACTGCCCAGCTCTCCTGAAGAGATAACATGCAGCACACGGGACGTGGGACTTCTTGTCCTTAAGAAACGGCAGAAAAATGGTGGTTTGGGGTGGCAGAACGCATAGCGGACGGAGACCGTGGGAAGCTTGAGCACAGACATTCAAGGAGACGGCCCTCCCTGACATCCCGAGACAGACAACCCACATGTAAACAAAGGAATCTGTATGCTCGCCGATGTACTTGACGGGCCAGATGGTTTTCTCGCCAGCAGGGTTCGATCTGTGCGCTGATCTCGCCAAGGGTCTCGACGCTCGAGTACACGCGCACGCACCTTTTATAATCAGGGCAGCCGGTTGCCCAGCTCTCCAAAGACGCCTTTCCCAGCCAAAGGTAAAAACTGGTTTGCCGTATTAAGCCCACAAACCAAAACGCAGCAAGCTAGACCACTAGAGTACACTGAAGATTCGAAAGGATAGTACTCGCAAGCGCCTTGAGGATCCCAACACACAACTTCCGGGGGTACGGTTCGGCGATTTTCGTACGATGCACGTGATTATCATCATGACCCTGGAGACAGATATGGGGTTAGCCGGTGAAGTCACAGACTTTGGTACCGTGGCACTTGAACGGGAGGTGAGAGAGGACAACATTGGCCGACACGAACCTGGTCCTCTTTCTCCGGGGCATGCCGCAGGCGCAATAGTCTAGAATGGCAACATCTACATCTTAATATCTCAGGATCTGAGACCAAGCGGGCATTGGCCACAGGCGGCTCGTGCGAGGGTTCTCGATAGTAACTGGAACCATCATCGTACGAGCCAGGCGAAAGAAACCAGCGGAGATTGAGCTCAACTCGTTGGCCTCCTGGACCCTGGACAGGACGTGGCCCGAGAGACCAGGAACTCCACCAGGGTACTGCCTAGACCTCCAGCCCTCCCGATTTGCCATCGAAAAGGCGGTGCACGGGGTACCGAGCCACAGGGCCCTCACCAGGTTCGAGCGAATCCAGCCGCGGACGAGGCGGGCGAAAGCCCGATTCGTAAGGTCACGGGCTGGCCCGTGCCGAATATCGATGGCAAACACAAGTATATGTCGGAGGCCAGGAGTTGAACGCCAGGCAGATGACCAGCGGCCCTGGCCAGCAAAAAGCTCTAGTGCAAACCCTTCCTCCGGAGCAACGAGCAGGCTCGGGATGGTGCGAGGATCATGGACGACAGCCGCTCGGCACACTCGGCGGCGACTTCCTGCACGGGGACGTCGAGGCGCTGCAGCTGTTCGTTCAAGCGGCCGGCCTTGACGTACCGGTGGAGGGACGCGTCTGACTGCCATCGGCCGCGCTTCTTCACCCCGGTCGTGTCGCGCCCCCCGCCGAGAATCTCGCGGCTGGCCCCGCCGTGTCTGAGCTGGTACAGGGATATCGGCGCCAGCGCGGACAGCGGCAGCGCGTTCACGGCCTGCTGGAACTGGCCGCACCACTGCGCGTAGGTCAGGCCGACGATCAGGTCGTCGGGATCTCGGCGGCCCTTGATCACCTCGAGGACCTGGTTGACCCAGGCGAACTCCACGCTGTCGCGCAGCAGGCTCTCGTCGAACACGGCAGTCTTGCTCGGCACGCCGCCCTCGATCGGGTTGAGTAGGAGGCTCCACTTCCGCATGGCGACCGGGCCGCAGCGGGGCGGCGCGACGAGGCCCCGGCAGCGGAGCCTCAGCAGCTCCGAGGGGCGGCAATAGAACGCGAAGTTCAGGAGCGTCAGCCAGGCTGCCTCGGCCAGGCCCAGGGCCAGTAGCTCGGTGATGATCAGAGCCACCACCGTCCACGGCAGGGGAAGCCGCGCCCGGGACGGCGCGAGCTTCCCGAAGCCCTTCAGGGCCCGGCGGGCCCGAGGGAGTTCTGGGGTCCGCCGAGTCACACGAGGATCGCAGAACGCGAGTGCGGCCAGCAGCGCCGACGCGTGGTCCACCACCTCGCCGTTGAAGAAGAGGTCGTGGAAGTACGCCACCGCCGCGTGGTCGAGCTCGGCCAGCGTCGCCGTGGGGAGGCCAAGGGCAGACGTCCAGGTGCTGAAGGTCTGAACCATCTCGCGGTACCGCTCCTGCTGGGCCGGCCGCACCACGCTCCGCTCTAACAGCGAGTGTCCCGGGCTCCCCGTCACTGCCTCCCGCGGGTGCTGGCGAACCCGAGCGCGACGGCAATCCTCGCGCCGAGCGCTCTCCAGCGCTGGTCGGCTGAGCACGCCGCGAGGTGCTCGGGCGCGTGCGGAGCTTGCCATCTGCGCGGCCCCCTTCATGGGCAGAGACAGCCGCCGGCCGGCGACGCACCGCGGGCGCGCCCGTCCTGGCTGTCCGAGTCCACGTCGCCAGAGGGGCCGAAGCCGTCGAAAGCGTCTCTGAGGGCGCGGCCGGCGGAGCGGACGCGACGCTCGCGGGCGGCGCAGGCGGCCGCGCTCCAGGCCACAGGAGCACCCGCGCGCCGCGGCGGAGCTGGGACCAGGGCCTCGAGCCCGGGCGGAGGCCCAGGCAGACGAGTACTGGCCGGCGCTCGAGCCAGGCGCACGTTGCGAGATGGGGGGTCGCTGGCGTTGTGCTCAGACGGGACCCACCGCCATGTGGTAGGAGAAGGACGCGAGGGCCAGCGCGGCGTGCTGTCGGCAGATCCGCATCATCCCCCTGGCCGAGGACCGCCCCTTTGTCACAGCCAAAATAGGTGCCATAGAGTCCCCAAGATGAAGGTGCCGCCGACCAAGTGAAGCTAACGACCGGGTGCATCGCTTGGTAGACCAGACCATAGCCCGACCTTCATGGCAAACCAGAGGCTCGGAGCGGGCCCATGACCGGGAGGCCACGAGGCGCCGCTCCCCATCCCAGACCGAGGGCGGGGCCGAGGGGAAGGCATCGGGAAGCGAATCCGACGCGGGCGACGAGTCAGGCGGGCGCTCCGCAGAAAGACCCACAGAGGACTCAAGGGGGGCCTCCCCGGAACGGTCGTTCCAGAACGCGCGCGGATCCCGCGAGGACCCGCCGCCAGAGGGAGACGAGTCCGGCCGCGGCGACGAGGCAGGGGGGGCGTGGTAGCCCCCAAGGCGGGCGGCCAACGACGCGGAATCCCGGGGACACCAACCCTTTTCTTCATCCCGTGTGAACCTCCAGCGTTCGTTGAGCTTGCCTAAGTCCGCGACGACGCGGTGGTCCAGGTCCTGGACACACGCACCCATACCCCAACTAGAAGCGTCCACAACTGATACCTCCGAAGCCCATGGAGCAGACAGGTCACGCGAGGCAAGGACGATGAGGTGGCTGGCCCACGTGAATTCTCTTTTCACCGAGGGCCAGAATGGCACCGCGGAGTCACCAGCATGTTCTATAAACGAGTAGGCGGCGTTGAACACGCACAAGAGCTCGCGCCTAATCAGGGCCCGGGTGGTAAAGTGGGACACGAGGATCTCGACAGTCTTTCCTGAAGCATATTTTCGACGGGCAAACTCTTGAAACCCGAGACGAAGCTTCCAGCAAGTAGTCGGGTTGACCCCGACCTCGGCCGAGTCATCCGAGAAAGTCCACCCCAAGGTCGCCCCTCCCCTCGTGCCCTCCACCGGGTGCGCGGGAAAACGGGCTCGCGTGAGCTCCGAGGAGACTGCGCGGGCAGCATCTCCGGCGGCCCGCTGGCACTGACTGAAACCGACAAAATTATCAACGCACTCTGTGTGGATCAGCGGCGTCAAGGGCGGGGCTGGGCGCCGGTCGAACAGGGCATTCGCCTCCTCGATGCCGGGGGCCCGCCTCGAGAGGATCTCCAGGGCACGTTGCATCGGCCACAAAGAGAGCTTCCAACCCATAGGGATCGCGGTGAAGAGGGGGGCGATGTAGGTATTCGGGGCCACCGGGGCCCCATTCACCTCCGAGACTCCAACCTGTCCAGCACGGATCCTTGGAAGACCGAAGAACTCCTGGAGACCCTTGGGCAGGGCAGCGTTGTAAAAAGCGTTGGCCACATCGACGCCGCCGACGCAGATAGGATCCTGAGAGCCAGCCTGGATGGACGCGAACGAGGACCCACTCGCCAAGTGCACGGCATCGGAGTCGTCGAACCAGCAACTCGAGATACGACTGTCAATAATAACTCGAAGCTTCCCTGACTTCTTATACGCGGCGAAGATCCCAACCGAAACTTTGCATTCAACCCCCCACGCCACCAGGCTGGCCTCTCGGAGCCGCTTTAGGACCGAGGCATACAGACGAGGAGAGCGCCTGAGAGCAGGGTCTGCGTAGGGCCTAGAGAGGCCATCGCGGGCCATCTTTTCGCGCGCAAGGCGCTCAGGAAAAATCTTGCTGCCCAGCTTTTCGACCAAGGTTTCACCCTCGGGACCAAGCAAATTACCTAGAGGCTTCGGGAGACTACCAGGGGAAGGGAGGTCCAGGAGGCAGACATTGTCTGGGCCGATCGGCGCCAGGGTGGCCGGCTCACCACCGTATGAACGCCGGGCGCAGAGCTCGCTGAGTGCTCCCGCGCCGGAGAGCCCTGGGGGAGGGGGCCCTAAGCGATCCACCGCGCGGCGAATGAGACGACAGGCCTCCAGCTGAGCCACGCTGGGAGAACAAGACCCACCCCTCGGGGGCCCTCCTGTGAAAGGTTGATTCAGACTCGAGGCAACCGACTCCGCGAAGCGAGCAGAGTGGGCCTGACGGAGGTGGCGACGTCGAGTCGGCCGAGAAAAAACTGACGAGTCGAGACCCGACTCACGCAAGCACAAGAGAGGAAGGGGGAGAAGGTCGCGCCGCCGATCAGCACAGGCATCACTCGGCATCACGCCCTCAGAAGGAGGCCGCGTCTCGCCGCGGGGGGCGGCCTCTGGATCTGGCACCGAGCTAGAGGCTTCACCTGGGCCGTGCTGCATCATTATTGCTTCATGAGGAGCGCCGCGCGCTCCTCCTTGGCTTTCCGAACTGGTTTCAAAATCGCGGCATCCATGCCTACCGCACGAACCACATGATCCAGGGACGCTGGACACACCACGGTCGAGCCCGTGCTCCTGTTGATGCCGGAGAAGACGGTCTCCTCAACCATGAGGCCGACGACCGTGACCGTCGAGGCGCGGGGAGTCTCGTCCCTCCCGACCTTCTCGGTAGCCCCCATGGAGTCCATCCTGTAGACATACTCCGAGAGCTGAGCCTGGCGCAGGAGCGATTCGATGCCTACCGAGTCGCAGATGTTCATACTGTCGTAGTCGGCCGCCTCCACCAACACGTGCAGGGCAGCGCCGTGGAGCTCCACCCCCCACGAGACCGGCTTCAGCCCGATCACGCTCATGAGCTGCAGGTGGGGCACCACGGGTGCAGACGAACACAGGTCGAACCACTCTGCACACCACTTCGCCACTCGAGGCCCGGGAACCGTCCGCCACGCATAGGCGGCCCCCACGAGCTCCACGCACACGTCGCTCCAGCGATGGCGAGGCCGGGCCATGAAGAAGGCCGAGCCGCCCAAGTAGTGAGGGCCCCGCATCGCCTCCAGGGCCGTGAGCCCCGCTGAGTCCAAGGACTGGACGTTCTTGACCACGGTGCTGAGTCTGT